GGGGATGTCCCTGCTCATGGCAGGGGGTTGGACTAGATGGCCCTGAAAGGTCCCTCCCAACCAAACCCTTCTGGGATTCTACAATTCTATGACCCCCATGCCCGCTGCCAGCCCCAAGATCCATTTTCAGCCCCAAACCGGCTGCAGACCATAAGCAAGCGGGGCATGACGGTTCCCTGATGGTGAGCGAAGCATCCCTGGGATGCTCTCCGCATGCCCCAATCTCCCATCCCAACCTCGAGGATGTTACCTGAGTGAATGTAAGGAGATCAGACCCCACAGGGATGGGGGTCCCAACGGGGCGCCCCAAGTCGTAACACGGACCCTCTACAGGGAAAGGAGAGCTGGCACAGGAGGCTGAATCAAGAAGACGCTTTAATCAGATTTATCGGACAGATCTGGATCTCCAAATAAATAGATTTATCAAAACAGAATAAAACAAGAAACCAAGGATAAATACATGTACCAAAACAACCTGAAAATCCCCCAAAGCTATTTCCAGACAGGGGGAGGGCGGTGCTGCTGCATGCCCTCTTCCCCACACTGCAGAAATGGTCCTGTTCACCCTTTGGGAGATGCCTCTCCTGTGAATACAGCCCAGTAGATATTATGTAGGATATATATAAATATATAGCATAATAACATGCTTAGTAGCGACCTTAGTGCAGTGTTCAGGGTCTCAGACCCTGTCAGCAGGTGGGTCCTCCAAAAAACTACATCTTCAAGTGACCTGCAAAGAATGGAAAAGAATCCTCCCAGCTGAAAGAGAGGAGAAAAGACGCAAGATTTTTCAAGAAATACCCTCTGGAGGGTATTCAGCCAAAGAAACCCTTTGCAGATCGCAGGGGCTCCAAGAAAAGAAATCAGGATGATTTTTCTCTCCTTGCAGGTCATCTTTGTGCTGGAGGTTGGTAAAAAGCATGGCCACGCTCTGCTTTGCTGCCTCTTCAGAAATGATGGGGTGTCAGGGACGTATCCCACCTCCTGACGCCGCACCAGGTCTCACATCTCCACCATCTCTCCTTCCTCCCCCTCACAGCCAACATCTTCGGTAGCAGGAGACGACGGCCAACATCTTCCACTCTCCCGCTGGAGAGAGGCACCTCCACGGCTGTGGCTTCAATGCGGTTCAGTTTTGTTCGTTTGCTGGGGTTTCTGTAATTTACACTAGCGTATCCTTTATTGCTGTGCCAGTCTATTAAATAATGCAGCTTTTTTTTTTTTCATATATATGTGTATGTGTGTGTGTGTAGATAAATCAATAGCTAAGTTAAAGTTTTTTTCTTTACAAGTTCTTTGTTTCTTTCTCTGGGCTCTCTGTCATCCTCAGCTCGGACGTCTGGGCTCGGAAGATGTTCCAGTGACCTGCATGAGCAGAGAGACACTCATTAGCAACACCCCTCGGATCAGGAAAGCACAATTTACGCCATGCGTAGCACCCTCCGCACCAGAGGACCCACAAAGACCGTGCTGGGGGAGAGGTGGGGAGAGAGGTCTACCCAGCGCGCTGGCCACGGCCAGAGCAGCTCAGCAGCAGCCCTGTAATCTGCTCCTAGACTTTGCCACCTCGTAATTAAAATGCTATTTGAGGTCGAGAGAGGCTCTGTATACCTACCGCAATGCAATTAGCACAATTAACGGCATTTCCAATGTTTTCCCTGGAAACCACTCCCGTGCGAGTGAAAGAAAAAGAGATCGGCCCGAAATGGGGATGAATCACTCCCTCTGCCTCCCTTGTCCCCTGAGTCGTGTCAGAAAGCCAAAATTCACATTCGCGGGCCGTGGAGGGCTATGCTTCTCTGCTCTCCTTGTCAGCACAGGGAGATGGCTGTCAGCCCCATTTCTTTGGGGTGGGTTGCTCAAACACCCCACACCCACACCCCCCCATTTATAGTTGTTTTTCTGCTGCTGCCGCAGCCTTGGCTCCTCCTGCGCTTTGCAACCACCTACGGTCGGGGAAGGTCCCGCTGCGGGAGGAAAAGCAGCCCCCCAGGTCCCCGCACAGGTGAGCTGCAGACTCCCTGCAAAGCAAATGCACTGGAGGGAGCTGGGCAACACCCCAAAAAGGGGCACAAAGCTCCCCAACCCCTCTCCTTGCCCCCCCAAAATACCAGCATCCCCGTACTTGCAGGAGGTGGCTGGAGGTGCTTTCGCCCCGGGTGGTCACCTCCCCCGTAATCCCAGCAAGGATTATGCAGCCCTAATGTCGTCATCCCCGGAGGGGGCATATTTTCTAGCCGAATTAATCTCCTGTTGTGAAGAAATCACCGGCCAACGCTTTCCTAGAACTTGCGGCAACGGCAGAGGGATGGTTTCACCAGAGGGTTATTTGTCAGGGGAAACTGAGGCAAGAAGAAGGGGGCACGTGCCAGAGACCCCAAGCTGGTGCAGAGCCCAACCCGGGAGCAGGGACTTGGAAATACCCCGGGGTTTGGTCAAGAGATGTCGTCTCGAAAGGCTCGGAGATGAAAATGAACCCCCACCCTCCCTGGGGCACTGGGTGTGCTGGTGTGTGCTGGGCAGCAGAGCTGTTCCTGGCTGACCCGGTGACCCGTGGGTGCTGGACAATACGGAATCCGAACCTGACCCGTTAAACTCTAACCCAGCCCGGGCGAAGAGGCAGCCAGCGGGAAATAG